TCTTAACCAATGAGAACGCTTAAAACCGCTGTAACCATGGCAATTATCTATCGGATAAATTTGTCAAGAGGTGGTAAAAGTGGGCCTAACTAATGTATAGCAAGTTTTTCATTCATTTTACCATGCTGCATAGCCTTAGATCTACTTACTGCATCACGCGATTGACGCGACAAATTTGTAAATTTTACGACAAATTACAACAAATTAAGCGACAATTTATCACGTCATTATTTTTTTGTTATCTCCACTCTTTACCATAGATCCCCACTGTCAACTTAGCACTACCTCAAAAATGCAATATTTCAAATATTGTTTATAAAAAAGGACGCGACAAATTTGTAAACTTTCCGACAAATTACAACAAATTACGCGAAATTAATGCAATAATTTTTTTTATTCAAATCGCAAGATGTAGTGCCAACTTGACAGAGGTTATCCAATCGTATAGTTGTTAATTCACAGCGTTCATACTTCCTAAGATATTCAACTGTTTTACCAAAATATTGCAGGAACTTTTAAAAAACGATGTAAAAAGGACATAAAAAAACTAATCCAAAGATATTAGATACACTACACAGCGTGTTCATACAGTGCTAGCGTAAAGTAACCCCCCCCTGTTTAACTTCCGAACAAATTGAGATATCACTATGAACAAAAAAACGTCAGTTTCTATATTTTATCAGCACAAATATTTTCTTATGGAAAATTTTGCCATCACTTTTAGTTTTTCCGGAAAATAGATCAACTTTGTTTTTTTAAATGGAACACCCAGTATATTATGGTATCTTCCGAAAGATGAAAACAATACGAATCCAACGGTACCTCACAATCAAATATCGGTTTATTAGTTTTTCGCATAAAAATTAAACAAAATGCGGAATTTTGCCGGAAAAACCAACGTATCTTCGTCGACTACCTGTCGAAATGCAATCGGCCAGGTAAATGGTGGACGGTCGGTATACGCTCGAGCTAAGACGGATTTAAAATTGCAAGTTCAATTACTTATTTTTTTTAGAAATGAAATAAAAGTTGTTTGGAAGTATATTAAATTTATGAATTAATCATATTTTATCAAAAAATATTTATAAAGAAAAAAAGTCAATATAAGAAATGAAATTTTCTTATTAAAGATTTTGCTAGTATAGGTAACGGTTGAAAAATTTGCTTAGTGTTGTTATTGAATAATAAAAGAATTTTTTATTTATTAAGAATCAAATATTAAGTAAATTGTTCGATATGATTACCTTGAACTTCTAGGCAGTGGTACCATCTTTGTAGTGTTTCCTCTCTCACACGGCTTAACATGTGATCAATATTTTGGCAGACGTCAATAATTTTTTGTTTTAAATCCTCAATACTACCCAACGGAATTTCATATACCTTGGATTTTAAATAACCCCATAAAAAGAAATCTAAAGGTGTCAGATCTGGTGATCTTGTTGTCCATTAAAATTTTTATCAAGATAATTTCGTACCATTGGCGCATAATGTGGAGGTGCTCCGTCTTGATGAAACACTAGTTCCATTTCAAAATCGTCAGAATTCTGTTGTACAATTTGCAAAAGTCTTGAAAAAAAAACATTTACTTTCTAATGAAATTGAGTGATAACGTCACGATATTCATGTGGATTAACATCACGCCGATGCAATTTTCCACCCAAAAAGAAAGTACATTCATCACTGAAACAAATATGTTTCAAGTATAATCGATTTCGTTCAACCATATTTGTCATTAGCTCACAAAATTCTGTTCTTCTATATCAGGGTCATCTTCTGTTAATTCATGAAGCATTTTTATTTAAAATGGATGATATTTATTCTTCTTTAAGTATTTCCACGTCTTCCAACAACGACGCGGAAATATTTAACACATCACACGTTGATGCGATAGCAGCAGACGACATCATGGGCACATTAAATACTTCTGTTAATATCTGACGACCAGTTCTTTTGCGGTCTTCGACGCTTCCAGTTTCCAAAAACTTATTCACAAGCTCTCTTAAATATTTTCGACTAATTGGATGTTCAGGAAATCGTTCCTTAAATTGTCGCCCTGTTTCATGTAGATTTCTGTCAGCACGAGCGAATATTAAAATTGCTTCGATATTGTGCTCTAAACTCCTTCTAGCCATTTTGATCTCGCCTTTCTTTGGTTATACTTGGTCGGGTAGAATTCAAAGATAGAAATGAAGGAAAATATTTGCATGCTGCCTTAAATACAAAATTTCAAAGTACCTACAAACTTTAAAATTGTTGTTATGACAATTTTTTCTTAGAAGTTTTAAAAAGAACTTTCTTTTTATCCTTTTCTTGTATTGATTGTTTCATAAAAACATTCTAAAAGAATTGCTGATTTTAACCCTGCTTAATCCGAGCGTAGACCGACCTTTAACTGACCGTCCACCATTTATCTGGCCCATTGTATCTCGACAGGTAGTCAACGAAGATACGTTGGTTTTTCCGGCGAAATTCCGCATTTTGTTTAATTTTTATGTAAAAAACTAATAAACCGATATTTGATTGTGAGGTATCGTTGGATTCGTATTGTTTTATTCTTTCGAAAGATACCATAATATACTGGGTGTTCCATTTAAAAAAACAAAGTTGATCCATTTTCCGGAAAAACTAAAAGTGATAGCAAAATTTTCCATAAGACAATATTTGTGCTGATAAAATATAGAAACTGACGTTTTTTTGCTCATATTGATATCTCAATCTGTTCAGAAGTTAAACAGGGGGGGGTTACTTTACGCTAGCACTGTAGAACTAAGTAAATGGTTGAATTGCCCATCAAATTCCCTTTAATTAATGATAAGTAACTATGTCATATGTCTAATTTTAGTAGTTTTCTTGATATTTAGAATTTAAAGAAAAATGAGTAATAAAAAATAGTAATAATAATATAATATAATATAATAATAGTAATAATCAGTAAACTCACGTTACTATAGTAACTAAGTGGTATTTAACGTTTTCCTCGCCTACTATAATTAAAATTTTGAATATTAATCTTTAATATTTTAGAATTAAAAAATAACGCTTATTTTCCCCAAATACACCATGCGTGCAATACATCATTGGAAAGCTAAAAATATGCTCTTATCAGTAACACCATAATCTACTATAGTTTGTATTTAAAAAAATACAACTTTGTGTTGTATCTCAAAAATCATTAAATATTTTTAAAATTTTTCAACGGCAGTATATTCTGCTTAAAAAAGTGCCTTAAGAACGTATCGACCCTATTTCTCTAATTTTAAAAATAAACGAAATATGAGCATTTTTTGAAATCACGAAAATTTCAGTTTTTGGCTATAACTTAAAAACAAAAGAAGATAGAGGTTTGGTGTTTGCGGGATTAGCTTAGTCTCGAAAAAAGAGACCGGGACATGGCACCTACTTTTTTCGTATCTCTTATAGTTTCTGAGATAGCCTATATAACACCCAAATTTGCCCACCCTGTACGTAATATTACATTTTATATTTTCGTCAATTTTTTTTTGTTTGTCTCCATTTATAAATCAGTATTTTAATTAGTAGATTTAACTTTAATTAAACAGTAATTTAATTTAATTTTAATTAATACTATTAGCATTTATTAAACAATAAATCTCTTTTTTAGTTAATAAGCTATTTGAAGCAAATGCGGAACTAAACTATAAACACTTACTAAATATAGCAGAACAAGTAGTTACTAACTAAATTAATAGGTAAACCGATTTAAAACATGAACATAAATAATGAGTTATTAAAATATTAATTAATATAAAGTACGAAAACTTTCATGGCCGGTGTTAATTAAACTAAAAGTAGAACTAACTCTATCACTAGAACTAACCCTAGAACTAGAAACTTTCCGGTTAAGCAATACGTCTTTTGAAAAAATGTTTGACTTTTCGGATGCCATGTTGCAACCTTCTTAACAAACAAGTTCGAAGTGATTTCCAACATTTTTTCAAAAGACGCACGGCTTAACCCGAAAGTTTCTAGTTCTAGGTCTAGTGTTAGTTCTAGTGATAGTGCTAGTGTTCGTTCTAGTTTTAGTTTAATATTAATTAAGTTTTTATAACACGAATATTTGAATTTTGAAATTTTTGTAGAACATTATTTTTGATAAATAAATAATCAAACAGTGATAAACATACAGAATAAAATTAAATGGCTAAACATATTCATCAAGTAATCATATCAAAATTAGGTACGTGGCAGCAAAATTATTTTACATTATAAAATATCTTTATAATCAAACAAAAACGAAAGAGAACAAAAAAAACGGACAAAAATATGCAGAATGTAACATTAAAGATAATAATGGCATATTTTATTATACATTTTTCTTTAAATTCTAAATATCACGAAAACTACTAAAATTAGACATGTGATATAATTAATATAAATTAAAGAGAACTTGATGGGTAATTCCACCAGCACATAATATACAGGTGTTCCAATTAAAAAAGTTATTTGAAAAACATCAAAATTTACAATGGTTTATGAATACGCTGTATAATGTATCTAATATCTTTGGATACTTTCATCTATTTATAAGCTTTTACTATTATCCGACATAGTTTAAAGGCAAAATAGGTGAAAATGTCCTTTTTACATCGTTTTTAAAAAGATCCTCCAACCGGCATATTTTGGAAAAGCAATTGAATATCTCAGGAAGTATTAACGCTGTGAGTTAGTAACATAGTATAATATGGTGAAATATAAAAGGCGTTCCATTTAAAAAATTTATATACTTGCAGTCACATGTTATAAAAAGTGGTGAACCAAACAACTTTAATTTAAAAAATTTTTTGTAACTTAAATAATTTAGTAGCTATCGACCGCTGGGGTACAAATAACTCACCCTGTATATGTTTTTCATTCAAAAGAGCCCAAGAAAAAGAAAAGTTCGGTGAAACAAGTTATGTATCATAACAAGTTTAAATAAAAAAGAAGAATCCCGGAGTGAATCCTAGAAATTTACATAGATGGAATTTAATTTTGCTTACCTCGCACGAGGCCAGAGCGCATAGTCCAGCCGCCACCATCCAAATCCATCTCACCCGCACTCTGGCCATACTCTCACGGTGACCTTATCGTTTGACGGCTAAGCCATCGCCATTTGGGCTTGCTACGGATCTGAAAAGATTGAAATATGTATATTATTTTTCATCGTGTAATTTGTAATTTTTGTTACTATAAAATGAAGGATTTGCGCATTTGCATATATATCTTTAATTACAAGAACGTCAATAATTATAAAAGAATACTGAAGTCAATACTGAATACTGAATTCAATACTGAACTGTTGTAAGACGGAGGTAATTGTTTTAACAATTTCAGAAAAAGATAGCAAAAAGCCTATCAACCAACAAGGAAATGACAGCAGGGAAATATGAGATAAGTATATGGCAGCTTCTTAACAACTGAAACGAGGGGAAATGGCCAAGAATACCAACAGACAAAAAAAAAACAGTAGAAACGGATTCAGAGAACCAAGAAGCGGGAGGACGAAAACAGACAGATGAAGAGGTTGAAAAACCGTAGACAGTAAAACGAAACGGTAGTTGTTCTACGAAGGACTCAATGAACAAGAAAATGGGTTTAATCCCAGAACATTTTGTGTAACTATATGTATAAGATGGGAATCTTGTGTGTGACCTTAGCTTAGTATTATACAGAGAAACTCAGTATTTTTAATGAGCTGCTTAAGGACACGGTAGACGCCGACATGGCCGCGGAGAATGCAGGGGAGTGAATGATGAGCAACAGGAAGCACCAACCCTAGCAAAGTTAGAACAAGCCCTTCAAATGCTAAGAAATAATAAGTCACCTGGAAGCAACCACATTCCTCAAACACTGAGGGTCTCCACTAAACTACAGCTACGCACAATACTTATACGAGGAAATATGACTACAAAAGAATTGCCTGAGGAGTGGAACCTGAAAGTCATCTGTTCTATCCATTAGAAAGGAGACTCAGTAAAGTATGAAAATTATAGATTAATTGTTAAATATAGTATATAATGTATTTTCTAGTGTACTGTATAAAAGACTTATACGGAAAAGCTTCTAGTACAGTTCCAAAGTGGATTCCGGTTAGGATATTTAAGTTGGATCAAATATTTGGTCAACGCTAGATCTTGGAGAAGGGTCTAGAGCACAATATCGACACATTACATATGTTCATTCCATATGTGAGCCTTGTGAAAGGAGTACCAGATATATATCTACCGAGGATAATCACGCATGCCAAATCTGCTTAAACTGAACAAGGACAGGATAATAGAGGACGTGGCCAAGGTTGGACTTAAAGGCTAGAGGACAGCTTCACAGAATGACGAATAGAGGGGGAAACTGGGTTGTACTGGGTTGTAGCCCCGGAGGAGATGACTATTTAATGAAGAAGACGATTCCTTATTCTTGAAATATAATTTTTAAATTTTTTAAAACTATCAATATTTCATAAACTTCACCATTTTTCGAAATAATTAAAAAAAAACGATGAAAATCGATTTTTGACAATCTTTCAAGGAATATTTTTGGTATATTTATCAATTATAAAGAGGACTGTCTACTATTTAATGAAGGTCATTTAAAAAATATGAAACATTTAAAAATATGATTATGCAAAATATTAAAGTCGAATTCAAAAGGACTTCCGCTGTAAAAATCGCTTTTTTTTGCGGACGTCCATTGTTAAATCAACCGGATCAGATTATTCAATGAAGCATCCTCTTCCAATCCATCCAGATGTATCAAAATATGTATTGGCAATTCATTTATTTAAAGTCAACTTACTAACCAGATGCTTTGGCAGCCTTACCCAGAATGCTAATGAAAGTTTCACTCGACGTTTTGACGTAATTTCTGCATGTATTGAGGCTAGTCTTAAAACTACTTTCCTGATTTTTTAGATAGTAATATTGTTTTCATAACAAATTGGAATTTTAATAAAACATTATGAAATCTCAGCATTTGTTATACACGTATAACATTATTAATTAATCTCTTTCTTGATTTACTTTTTACTTGAAGTAACGACGAAAAATATTGTTCACAAAGGTATGTGTTTGGAAAGGGTATTAAAATTTGCAAAGCCCAGAAATCAGACAGGTTTTTTTCTTTGAAAGCCGTTTGAAGGTCTCCATTGGTAACTAAATCAATAAAATCTTCTTCCTTGACCTCCAAATCCATGTAATCTTTGATAATAAACGGATTGCGAACCCATGCCTTACTTTTGTCAGAAAGTGGTAAATATTCTCTGAAGGTGCTTCTTAGATTTGCCAAATGACACATGATTAGTTGTGCTTTCTCATTTGGAAGTGTATCTTTAGACATGTTTAAAAATGTCGACAAGTTTTGAAATGATTCCGCTTTTGAGTCGATTCTCCCATAATTCCAGTTTCATAATAGTTGCTTTAATCTTGTCTTCTAAATGGAAACAATATACTTTTGCACCTTGTAATTTTACGTTCATATCATTGAGATGAGTAAAGATGTTGGATAAGTACGCCAGTTTGATAAGGAATGTAGAATCGTTTAAATTTTCTGGGGAAAATTTATCAGAGCGATGGGATTGGAAACGTTGTTCTTCCATTAAGAATACATTGACTTCTTTACGTAATTTCCAAAGTCGACCCAGTGCTTTTCCCTTCGAAAGCCACCAGAATAACACTGCCTGACTAGTTACGTCAGTTATTTCATCCAACTATATAGCAAACCACATTTTCTTGCAAAACTGTGTTTGTTGTTTGATTTGTGACTGCTGTAGTAGCATGGTTCATAAGGAATACATTATTAAAAAAATCACTACTAAATTGCGCACATTTCTGACCGAAATACCTAAAGATATGATGTACTGAAACGATTTTTAACATTTTCAAAAATATGTCTATTACCGCTTAACTAAGAGACATAGACTCTTTTTCTTATTTTTACCAGAACAGGTATGAGTTGGCCTCTCACCCGGTGCCAGCTTGACGTTGAGTTTCGGGATACCCTGCAATTAGTTCATTTCGTATGTTGTAGTTTAAATTTTTAGTTTTTTGTAATTTATTTGCCTATATTATTTTTCACAAATGCGCCGTGGATCCCTAGTATTGTGGGAATGGACCCCTAGGTGTCCAGGCACCCCTTATTAGGAATCTAAGGGGTGCCTCTAGGGCCTAGAACATCTTGGAGAATGTTGTAGAACATTTTGTTAAAAACAAAAGCATTATGTTAAAAGCATTGTATTTTTTCAATTATTAATTTCTTAAAATTTCTTAGATTCATACAAACGATGAATGTCAGAAGTAATTTAACCCATTTACGGCCAGCGGTGCGTTAGCGCACCATTGTTAAGAAAAATGTTTTTTCACTTATTATTGACAACACACTTTTTATTCTAGGATGAAAAGTTACTTAAAAGATTAGGTTATTTTTAACGATACTTTATATTCATCCAATATTACAACTTAATGCTATGGTATCTGTTAAAACTTCCCAAATTTGGACATTTGCCCGTCCTCGAACTATTTTTTATATAAATTGTTACTAATTTTGATTTTAATTTTTCTACGTGGATATTCGTAAACTCAAATCTTTATATTTTGATATTAGTGTATTAGTTTGAAAATGTTTTATTTTCTTTATAAAAAATTACGCTAAACTCGGCGGTGCGTAGATGCACCATTGGCCAGATACGTATATCTCACCTGGGAATACAAGTTCAGACAGATGGTGTCTTATTTTGGAAGACATTCTTGCAAAACGTTTATAAAAGGGCAGCCCGTGCAAGGTTTGGTGCCTGCCGTCTTCGGATGGATAATGTATTTCAATTTGCTCCATATGAAGGAGCAAACACATCAAGAGAAAAATCAGAACTTGGCTTAGGAGGCCAAGTTGTTGTTGATTTGCTAAAAATCGTAAAATCCTCACAAAATCATCGGATATATTTTGACAACTTTTTCTCTTCGTACAAGTTATTGAAATTTTTGATCGAACAGCTAAATGTCCTTTAGAAAGTAACAAGGTTATTTCGAAAAAGAAACGAGGTAGTTATGATTCCGTATTTCACGAAGAGACAAAAATATCCTTGACTAGATGGAACGACAATTCAGTAGATAGTAACTACGGTAACTAACTATTTATATTTATGCGAAATGTAATAGTTATTTATATTACAAGTGGGCTAGAAACATAATTACTGTACGAGTGTGAAGAATTGCACGCGGTCGTAGACCGAGTCGTGTAATCACACGAGTACTGTAATTATGCTCTAGCTCACGTGTGATATACAGCATTTTATCTACGACTGCTAAAAATTATTAAAAAATCAATTTCTTTAAAAAAGTCTATTTGACACTTATAAAAATATTTTGAAATGATTGTTGACAATTTTGAATTGTCAGTTTCAACAACATGTTTACTCATCTGGAATAAGTGTTTCGAAATGTAAAAACATAACAATTAATGTTTATAATAAATAGTATTGTTTCTCTGTAAGTAGATAGCACTTTTTCTTTTGTATTGTTTCTTGTTTCAATAAATTAAGTCTGTTCTGATTAGGCTAAAAATGCGTTACGTAATGAAACCAGTGCGGTAATGAACTTCATTACGTAACTTAAATCACCTCAAATGAGTGCGGTAATGATGACTTATCCAAGCAGTCGTAGATAAAGTACATTTACATATAAAATGTTTTGAGGATTACCACAAGTATATATACATTTGTTTAGCCAAAGGTGCGTTTACGCAACATCATCTTTTTCATATACCCAATTTGTTTTTGATTTGATATATGCCGAATCGTCTTAGTTAACATATTTTTTGCAATAAACAATAATTTTTCTCTAAAATTTACAATTATTTTCAACCTTGGCCGTAAATGGGTTAAATATATTCCCAAGTAATTTTATCCACTGTAACCAATAGGAGAACGTCGAAAACGAAATAATTCACTCCATAACCTTCCCCAAGATGATTTTATTTGCCGTCCTTTTTAAAAAGTTTTTGAGTTTGTGAATGAACTAACTGATTGAAATTAATTATTGTTCTTATCGAAAATCTTAATGAAAAAAATTTTGAAACTGCACTTATTTTTGCTCATCTAAATGTATCTCGCCCCCCTGAATGAAGAATACAGTATTCAAAAATGCCTTTTTGTTTTTGAGATATTAATTTGTAAATTTTATAAAAATATTTGAATTTCATTAAGTGTCTACGCCTATATAAAATATCAAATTATATTTGAAGATAAATGAAAACTTTACATTTGAGTTTGTTATATTACCAACTTAATATTTATAATAACACTTTGAAATATTTATGGTGTCGTTAAAACACTGGGTTTTTTTAACAATTCAAATACATTCAAGATTTTCAGGTAATCGGAATCCTACGGGGTTAGGTTGGTTGGGTTTGGTGGAAACTGTACAGAGACGCCGACGTCCAATTAGCCACCCCACAAACGTTAATTAACATTCAAAACTTCCGCCATAAAACAGACGGGGTACTTTAATAGCGATCATCTCTCCAGAGAGTAAATGGGCTTCCCGAATACTTACAGGTGAGAGTTGGAGTCGCAACCCAGTTCGTATTAAATCGCCGAGCAATCTCCCGTTTTAAAAATTAAAGCTACTCCGGAAACTATTTCAACATCACTGCTTCGCAATAAAGATCGATAAAAGCACTAAATTGATATTGTCTATTGAAAAGGTCAACTTTTTGGGACGCTGCATTAAAACCGATTAGTTTTAATTTTAGATTTGTTTAAGTTTCTAATTAATATGATGATGCGAATAAAACCGAAATTTATTAAAAACAAGAATTAACAACCTTGGAGCACCGTATCAAGTACGACCGATATTATTTAGACGTGGACAAGGCACTGAATGGAGCGGCTGAAATGATACCGTAATGGGGAACTTCCTGGCCGGGAATATCATTCAATATATCTCTGTGTGTGTTTGGTCCACGGGTTATTATCGGAGTGTATGATTTAAACATTATCAGGTCATAACCTAGGTAATTGTAAAATTCTTCCCAGCGAAACTTTCATGTTATTAAATTCTTTTGTGTTATATAGACGTCGATATGACGTTGATCTTATTTTTCCAATAACGCTACAACAAACTGAGTTTGCTTATTTTCCATTATCCTTCATACGTTCGTTCTTGTTCCAAGAAAGCGACGTTGAACGGTAAAAGCACCGTAGCTTATAATTAAAAGCCAAACTTCAAACCATTTTCGAACGAGTTTTGCTTTCTTTTCGTGTGACAATAATTAACGAGGCAAAACTTTGATAATTAGATTTCGGTCTTTGAGTTGTTCTAACAAGGTAACGTTTTAAGCGGTGCTCATCCAGTTGGACGAGAGAAATTGCCGCTTACTAGGTATTTCGTCACAATAATACTTTCACTTTGTGCAATAAGGGATGTACAGGATTTTTAAAAGTTTCAAATAATTAACCGATTTTTGAAGAATATCACGAATCTAAATCCTTTTTCTAAGTACTTCCCGTTTTAGCTATAAATAATAAAGTTGGACTTGTGTATTTTTCTTATCATTTTCTTTTTACGCTTTATATCTTAATCCAATGAGCTCCTGTTTTAGTTTATGTTCGTTGACGTCGTTTTCCTGAGGATGACTCTTGTACAGTCGAAACCGGTAGAAAACTAAGCTATTTACAATAAATATCATCGTTTAAGTGGAGTTTTTAATTTAGTTAATAAATAATAAAATCCACAAATCTAAATCTAAATCTAAATTTACGTTTTTGAATAAAAATTTGTGTTACAAAAAGGATGACCAAAAATGATAGGAGTAAAAGTTGTGGATTAAAACAGTTTGTAATGAACCGAAATACGTTATCCGCACGCGATTATAAGCCAATTACGATTATTGTATTACCAACCCAGCAGATTTAAAATCCCAAATATTTCCAATTTGACGTATTTAACAATAAAATGGTTTTTACTCAAAAAATAAAATAGTCGATGATATTAATTAAAATTGTTCAAAACAAATAAAAATACCTAGTCGATAAACAATTTTATGCAACAATACCATTAAATTTCGTTAGCAGTCCTAAACATTCTCCCAATGTTAATAGCATTTTGTCAATTTGATCACTAAAATAGTATGTAATTATTTGTTATTTTATAAAACTATCACAACATACAAGTGGTTTAACGAAATAATTTGAACATAATGTTTCTGAATGTGTTCCTGAATATAACAAAAGGCAAAATCCGCCAACTGTTAACTGCTACGTAGTTGTTATTGTATGAAGTTTGAATATAAATGAGACAGGTTGAATGGATTTAGGTTGACTCCTCTCAAAATAGCGTTTTTTCGTTTTCTTGTACACGACTCGTAAAAAACTATAATAGCCCAGCTATGCGCCAACGTGTACAAATGCAAATCCTGTTCGCCTATCATATTCGACAATATATCCATCTGCGGAGGATTATTCTCTAGCTCCTAACCAAAAGAAATTACACTAGATCGTTCATACCTTCTACCCTCTATTACTTTATCAAAGAAGATGTTGCACAGAATTGGGTTAAAATAAATCCGGTACAGTAATCTTACATATTTTTTAATTGTGTAATCCATAGTTTTCTCCCATGAAGTTTTCTCATTATTTTAATTTTTTTTTTCTCGAAAACTATCGTAGGAAAAAATCAGAATTTTGAATAGGTGGTAGCCTGATGTGTTCTTAATGAGTGACATATTTTATATTTTCGATATTCCACACAGTTTCGCGGAAAATCGCGGTTTAGTAAGTCGTCGTTATGTCGAAAACGGCTGGGTGAATTTCCTCGCGGATTTGACCAAAATATGTCAAATAATGTCGATTGTCAGATTCCGTAATCAGTTTTTCAAAATTAGATCTCCCTAATTTTTTAAGAGCGATTAAATGGAATTACAAATTAAAGAGTAACAGAAATAAGCTCTGCGGGGTGACGGGGGTTCCGACCAATCGGAACAGATGGTACGACCCAGACAACACGTCGCGCCTTATTTCTTTATGTAGGTAAGATAAAGACACGACTTACTGTCTGGGACTCACCATCTGTTCCGATTGGACGGAACCCTCCTCTCCCCGCATAGCTTATTTCTGTTTCTCATTAATTTGTAATTGCATTAAATTACTCTTAAAAAATTAGGGAGCCCATCCTACTAATAACCGTATCCTACTAAACCGCGATTTTCCGCGGAACTATATGGAATATCGAAAAAATAAAATATGCCCCACATTAAGAACACATTGGTTTAGCAGTAGTTCAAATTTGAAATTTTTTCGTCAAATAGTTTTGCAGAAAAAAAATCGCAAAATAGACAAAGTTGCCGGCACTCTCAAAAATCGGGTATTTTTTTCATTTAACCCGCTATAAAAGAAAAACCGCGGACCAGAAAATTTCCAAATTAACATGTCATACACAGAAATGTTCACTGATTACAATAAACTTTATCGCAATTTTTTCCATCGAGCAGTTACGAAGATATTGATCTCTAAAGTGAGGGGCCTTGACTTTTTGCACGGATAGTAGTGTTTAAAGTTTAATAGTTATTTAACCAACAAGTCTATTAATGAAAGCGATTAATTATCGAGATATTTTAACGCGTGAGCGAGCGAAGCGAAGCGAACGCGTTAATTATTGAGATAATTAATCGCATTTTAATATACGAGTTAGTTACAATATTTTTCCTTTGACCGTCTTTTCAACAAAATAGAGAAAATCCATCGTTGAAAAATCTCCCAATTCTGTCACTGGCAAAATAACCTCACTTTTAATGTGTCATAATTTATTTTTGTAGTCTTACCGAATAGATATAGTGGTCGGTTGGGTCGGTATTACAAATTTCATTGGAGAATATTTATTAAATTGACTACTATTTAGTTCGGTCGGACTTTCTTAAAATCGTTTATTAATAGAAAATCGTTTATTAATAGGTGTCATTAATGAATGATTTTGTATACATTTATAAATCTTATAAATACACGGTCGACGGAAATAAATATTTAACCTATGCGATTCAAAACGCGCTTTTTATTTATTTTCTTTTACTTTGAAGATGAAGTATGTTCTTTAATCATGCTGCTCTATTTTACCACATTTAGCATCATTTTTATGAATTCTGTCACAAGAAATTTCTTTGTAAACTGTATTTTTGCATTCACATCCTCTCACCATACCATTTATTTCTGTGTTAATCTGCCACTTGACATGTAAGTACTTCAGTATGTATTTAGCAAGCGATATTTTTTTGGGAGATGTGAGACAACTTTAAGGGTTAACTGCCAAATATTGAAAAACGTTAGGAGCAATGTTAAAGGTACGTTCACACACATACTGTTTACAGGACCGTTTTTTGCGGATCCGATTTTATTTCTGCGAAGACGTATATATTTAAATGGGCGCGTTCAAATACATGACAGTATACCGGATCCAGTAAAAAATAGTGATCCGTCAAAATGTGTCGTTCCGTTTTGCCAACAAAAACTGGACGTCGAAACAGTAAAAATACGAATCGGCACTCGATATATTGGCGCCTTCACCTTTTTTTTGTGTAGTGAAAGACGATAGTACCAAAATAACACAAGAACATCCATTCTACGCGACTTTCGGTCGAATAATGATCGACCTCCCAATAGTGTGTGAATATAAATAATAGTCTGATCCTGTAAATACGGAACTGTTGTATTGAGTGTGAACATCACATACAGTAGTGACGGATCGGAGAAAGAACGGTCCTGTAATATCGGGCCGTTCTGAACGTGCCGCAAAAAACGGTCCTGTAAACAGTATGTGTGTGAACGTACCATTAGGTGTACCAACCAGTAATGGGAAAGTTACTTTTGACGATATTGGGAGTATTTATAAATGTTAATGATTATTTTGAAGAATACGACAAGCGATGTATAGATACATCAGGGATATTGCTGAAGGGTAACAAGGATGATATAGAGGAATATTCAGGACGATAACGAGGTGTTCCAAAAATAATCTTTAGCAATGCTCCAGATTATTATGAGGGTTTTTACAGACGTGAGATTAAAGTGTGTCAGTGATACTAAAGTATGCCAAAGATAATATTGAGTGTTATTTGGAACGCTGTTAAGAGTTGTAAGATATAGTATTAAGGGATCTGTGACGCATTATGTTACTGAGTGAGTGGGATCATATTGAGATATATGAGGGATGATGACGAAAGGAGTTTGGGTTGGTATTTATTCCTTCTCAACGGTTGGTGTAATTGTTGTCATGCACAAATTTCTCACAAATTCGAAACATAACTGCTGAAAAATGAAGAGCATTAAGACAGTGACAGCAAACCAGAAATCCTGACAAAACAATTTTAACTAGGTTACATCCCGGCTAACAAAAAAAGATTTAAACACACTTAAAAAATGAGTCTATAAACCACCTAGGGGCATTGACTTAAAAAAAGACAAACTACTCGTTATGAAAAGTTTGTAACAGGTTGAAGCGACCAATAACCTAAATCCCGCTCATTAAGAAATTAAATGAAAACTGGGCTAGATGCAACAAAAGAATATAGAAGAATTTGTTAATTATAAGAAGATTATAAGAATTGTATGGATAATATAACGAAGTTCAACAAGAAGATAAAGAATTTGATTAAGTAAGCCCATCAAGTTATAGGAGAAATAAAAACGATCAACTGTAGAAAAGCCTCGAGCTATGACCCAATAACTGGAGGAATCCTAAAACAATTGCCAAGAAAATAAATCGTACAACTAACGAATTTGATCAATGCGGCGTTCAGGTTAAAACATGTTGGAAGATCGGCAGAGGTAATTATGATACTAGAAAAAGGAAAACCTC